GCATGTGCTGCCGTAGTGGACGGACAGCTATCGCAAGTTTGTAACAGCTTCGATAGCAGCCTTACACAGGCAAAACATATCCAACTCAGTAGTAGTGGTAGGGTATCTACTGGTATTTACAGCCATAGATCCAAATCGGTAGTAGTGTTAGGGTATCTACTGGTATTTACTGCCATAGATCCCAAACAATGTAGTAGTGCAGAGGGAATCTAATGGTATTTACGGCCATAGATCCCAGGCAATGTAGTAGTAGTGCATAGGGAATCTACTGGTCTTGACAGCCATAGATCCCAGGCAATGTAATGATGAACTTGTGGTAGTAGGTAGATAATTTATCTGTAGATACTAAGACACTAACTCAAATTAAAGATACTTAAGGTCTGGTCCTTGATTGAATCAGAGAGTCTGGTCTGGTAACTGGCGCGTCACGGTTGTTTCGTTCTCACTTGCTTCCTTTGCGATTGTTAAATATAAGTTCTTATATGAATTGTTGAAAATAAAGTAAACTTAAAAAAGGAAAAAAAAAAACAAGCACAAAATATTATCCTGGTAATCCTGGCAAACATCCTTATAAATGGCGCCCGAGCAGGGACATTATTTGTGTTAAAAAAAAAAACTTTGTATAAATTCTGTGCAGGAAAAAAGGACGAAAAATACTTAAAAAAAAATATATTCTTTTAAAAATAATAAAACCGGCAAAATCATAAAATCTGTGTATAAATACTAAAGATAAAAAAAAAAGATACATATTTTTCGTAAAATAATAAATAAAATAAAATAAAAAAAAAATCCGTGAATAAAATAACAAGTTCTCAACATGAGCCGCGTATTCATTAACCAGCTTAAAAAGGATGTTCTTGGTGCAGCGCTGAAGGATATGGGGCTTGAAAATGAAGGAACCTTGGATGAAATGAGGGCTCGGTTGCGAAATTACCTAGACAAAAACAATATTCCCAGGGAACATGAACTGCTGATAGAGAACCTGAGAGCTATGTCGGAGCCATCGGAAAAGGAGTTGAAGGTTCCTACCGTTCGAGTATCTCGTGAATCCTCACCAGTGTGTTTTCGAGAGAAGACGGATATAGGTTCAGATAATCATTCTGAGGTCTGTGATAAGGTGCGTAAATGGGGAATTAAATACGATGGTGGAAAGGACCCGCTAGGTTTTCTGGAACGTATTGACGAACTTGCTACCTGTTATTCCATACCACAACATACTCTTTTAAATTTTATGCCGGAACTACTAAAAGGTGACGCTTTGTCCTGGTATCGAAACAATAAGACCTCGTGGAAATCTTACAGTGACTTTGTATGTGATTTTAAATTATTCTTTTTGCCAACTCGTTTCTTTGAAAATTTGGAGGACGATATTCGTAGTAAAAAACAAGGTGCAGGTGAAAGTTTTGTGGAGTATGTAACTGCCATACAAACCTTAATGAGATTATCCAATTTATCTGGTCAGGAACAACTAGAAAGAATATACTTAAATTGTCGTGCCGATTACAAAATGTATATAAAAAGAAAAGATTTTTCTAGATTACGTGAACTAATTGTTTTAGCTCAGGAATTTGAGAGCATTCGCGCTGAAGAAAATACTCAAAAGAAAGTCCTTCGACGTTTACAAACTGCTGTTGCCGTAAATAATACTAATAATCGAAGTGTGTGTTATCGTTGTGGTGAACAAGGACATACTCGGAGAACTTGTACCAATGCCCAAGTTTTATTTTGCTGGGACTGTGGGAAGCGTGGGGTGATGACAGTTGACTGCTGCAGACGTGGAGCGGAAAACAACCGAGGAGGTCCGTCGACAGGAGAAGAGGAGACGGATCTCTAAATAGAAAACCTCTTCCTATATCTCTCGAAATTGATGACGACTACCGCTTACGTACCCGGATTACGTTAAAAAATACGAAAATACAAGCTGTTCTGGACACCGGTGCTACCCACTCGTGTATCCATTCTTCGGTTATACAGGATCTACGAATTCCTATGGTTCCTCCTAAAGTGAATACTCTCCACCTAGCGGACCAATCCAAGATATTTACAGAAGGTTCTGTCGACATTTGGTTTATACTAAATGGAGTGGTATATCGACACAACTTCCTAGTCTTAAATAATATTCTAGATCCAATCATCATCGGCAATAACTTTATATATCAAACAGGCGCAGAAATTCGTATAACTACAAGAACCCACATCGGAAACAAACTGGTATGTCTACAAATGATTTTCCACAAATTAGTTCCTTGCTGAACCATTCCTGTGACGAAACTCAAGGAGAAACCCTGGAGCAGCAAAAAGTGCACTCTTTTCTAGAAACGCAACTATCCCGTTTCGACTCCATTAAAGGCCATTCGAATATCACCGAACATGTTATCACCATGAAACACAACAGACCTTTACGGCAGCGGTATTATCCGCGGAACCCGGCGATGCAAAAGGTAATAGACGACCAAATTGACTGAATTGATCCAAGATGGAAGAATTGAACCCTCCAAGAGTCCATACAGCTCTCCAATTGTTTTGGCAAAGAAAAAGAATAATGAGTGGCGCCTGTGCGTGGATTACCGGCAAATTAACGAGAACTCGATACGTGACGCTTACCCGATTCCACAAATAAATGCAATCCTAGAAAAACTTAGGAATAGCAAATTTTTTAGTACCATTGATCTTCGACATGGGTATTGGCAAATACCCATGGCTTCAGAGAGTAAGCCTTATACTGCCTTCACTGTTCCTGGACGTGGACTCTTTCAGTGGCGTGTAATGCCTTTCGGCCTACATTCTGCACCAGCTACGTTTCAAAGAGCTCTCGATACCATAATTGGACCTGAACTGGACGAATTCGCATTTGCGTATTTGGATGATATTGTAGTGCTTGGAAGTGACCTGGAAAATCATTTGTGTAACCTTAGAGTTGTTTTTGATCGATTAGTTGGTGCTAAACTTCGAATTAACATCGAAAAATGCACTTTTGCAAAGAAAGAAATAAGATATCTGGGTCATATCATAAGTGCCCAGGGTATACACACTGATCCCGAAAAGGTAAATGCGGTCGTAGCTCTCCCAGAACCAACAACATTAAAAGAGTTGAGGTCATTCCTCAATACAGCATCCTGGTATCGTCGCTTTATACCAAATTTTTCTACAATCACTAGTCCCTTAAATATTCTATTAAAGAAAACAAAGAAGTGGGAATGGGGTGATGAGCAGAGGATGGCTTTCGAAGAAATTAAGCAAAAACTTATAGAAGCACCTGCTCTTACATGTCCTGATTTCAGTCGTACCTTCATATTGCAGACAGATGCCAGCGACGTCGGTCTAGGAGTGGTGTTGACGCAAGAATTCGAGGAAGGAGAAAAGGTGATCGCGTATGCCAGCCGCACTCTTTCTGCACCCGAAAAGAACTACACTGTCACAGAAAAAGAATGTCTTGCAATAATCTGGGGAATTCGGAAAATGAGGCACTACTTAGAAGGATATCATTTTATTATAGTGACAGATCACCAATCTCTGAAATGGTTAAACTCGATACAATCACCTTCAGGTAGAATAGCTCGTTGGGCTCTAGAAATCGTGCAGTTTGATTACGAGGTACGGTACCGTAAAGGTAAATACAATGTTATCGCAGACTCGCTGTCCAGATATCCAGCAGATAAAGGTAGTAATTCAACCCCAATACTACAAACACTTGTCAAGGGCGGAATTATTGAGGACAAATGGTTTCTAAATAAGATAAAGCTGGTACAGAAATTCCCCGAACAACTTCCAGACTACCAAATCGATAAAAACGGGAAATTTACGACGGCATATCTATGATTCTAGTGCTTTTAACGAACAGGATCCAGTTCCTTGGAAATTGGTGATCCCCAAAGATGAACGATTGCGCGTACTTACTGAATGTCACGACGATGTAACAGCTGGTCACTTGGGTATACATAAAACAACAGCACGAGTAACGAAACTGTATTACTGGCCGGGAATGTTTCGCGATATTGCAAAATTAAACTTAACTTGGCATACTGTTTGTGCGGATTTTGTTGGTCCGCTACCGCGTTCGAGTCATGGAAATACCACCCTAATTGTATTTTATGATAAATTCAGTAAATGGTCAGAATTTGTAGCTGTACGTCAAGCCACCACAAAAACGTTTATTAAGGCGTTTAGGGAGAGGATATTAGCTCGTTTTGGAATTCCCTACATTCTGTTGACTGACAATGGAACTCAGTTTACCAGCCGTGAGTGTAAAAAATACTTTGAATCTCTGGGTATCAGACAGCAATTTACGGCTCCATACTCTCCACAAGAAAACCCTACAGAAAGGACCAATCGTATCATAAAAACGATGATAGCACAATTCACAGAACATAATCAACGGAAATGGGATGAACAATTACCTGAGTTGTCATTAGCTTTAAATTCCAGTAAACAGAGTTCTACCAAGTTCAGCCCAGCTTACCTAACACAGGGCAGAGAATTACGACTCCCTAATACGGTGTTTAACGAGAAAACGGAATCAGAGGTCACTAGAAAGCAGTATGAATCCAGGCGAAAAGCACACACATCTTCAAGAAATCTTTGCCTTTGTCAAAGATAATCTCCATCGCGCAACAAACTCACAGGCAAAATATTATAATCTGAGAAGACGCGATTGGTCTCCTCGAAAAGGAGATTTGGTGTTACTAAAGTCACGAGTTCTGTCAAAAGCAATAGACTTCTTTGCTGCCAAATTAGCGCCCAAGTTTGAGGGGCCCTATGTAGTTACCAAATATATTTCTCCAGTTATAGTACACCTGGCGGACGTAAATACCAAGAAAGATCGAGGGACTGCACATATCAAAGACTTGAAACAGTATCACGCGTAAGATAAGTTCAATTAGTTTTTTTTTTTTCTCGTAGAAACTAATTATGGACGACAACAAATTCCAACGAAGCTGCCAAAGGTTCCGAGAAGCAATGGATCGTGAAAACCGGAAAAGAAGAAAGATTGTCGAAATACAATCCATCACATATCTGCCAAATCTCAATATGCAGTCAATCACTGGTAACCAAAAGAAGTCTGATGTATTAGCCCGGCTTGTTGAAGATTTAGGAATCGGTGAAGATGACCCACATCTAGACATTCCTGAGGTACTGGCATCGATTACACCCATAAGTCCTGGCAAACGTACACGCTTCCTGGTGGGAAACAAACAGCTATTCCGTCGAAGTTTATATTCGAAGATCACTCGACGTTTGGATCATCCATAAAGAAGAGAAGTTTGTGTTCCCAAAGCCTAGGAATGACATAGCTATGCCGGTTTAAAAAAAAATTCAAACCAAGGGGGAGATGTAACGAAGTAATTCGTTACATATTTTATTTTCAAAATTATTTTATTATATATATATAAATATATATATAAATAGTTACAATGGAGATATTTTTTTTTGTTATATATGTTCTATTGAATAATAATTATTTCATTTATTTAAATTCAAAATTATTATCGAAATATATATATATAAATAGTTACAATGGAGATATTTTTTTTGTTATATATGTTCTATTGAATAATAATTATTTCATTTATTTAAATTCAAAATTATTATCGAAATAAAATCATTAATTTAAGAGATTGTTAATATAAGAGTATTATTAATTTAGTATAAGAGAACTGAACAACCCACTCTCTTTATTTTCTAGTTAACTCACTGTATTACTACTACTACCATTCAATGTCATTACAATGCAATATCACTACAGGTCAATATCACTGCTTCTTCAGTTGGGCATGTGCTGCCGTAGTGGACGGACAGCTATCGCAAGTTTGTAACAGCTTCGATAGCAGCCTTACACAGGCAAAACATATCCAACTCAGTAGTAGTGGTAGGGTATCTACTGGTATTTACAGCCATAGATCCAAATCGGTAGTAGTGTTAGGGTATCTACTGGTATTTACTGCCATAGATCCCAAACAATGTAGTAGTGCAGAGGGAATCTAATGGTATTTACGGCCATAGATCCCAGGCAATGTAGTAGTAGTGCATAGGGAATCTACTGGTCTTGACAGCCATAGATCCCAGGCAATGTAATGATGAACTTGTGGTAGTAGGTAGATAATTTATCTGTAGATACTAAGACACTAACTCAAATTAAAGATACTTAAGGTCTGGTCCTTGATTGAATCAGAGAGTCTGGTCTGGTAACTGGCGCGTCACGGTTGTTTCGTTCTCACTTGCTTCCTTTGCGATTGTTAAATATAAGTTCTTATATGAATTGTTGAAAATAAAATAAACTTAAAAAAGAAAAAAAAAACAAGCACAAAATATTATCCTGGTAATCCTGGCAAACATCCTTATATTCTTTTAGCGGTGATTTTCGCCGGACACTTCCTGTGATACCTGGTTCAACGCCGGCTGATGAACTCAATGCTTGCCTAAAATCATCATATCTCTGGCAGCATGTTCACACGTTAAAATTAACAACAAAACAATTGCTGGATTTAGGAAATGGAAAAATGACAATTGAGCCAACCACAAATTGTGTAAAGTTTCCCTCTAACTTTTGTAGGATCACACAATCAAAGAAAGAGTTAATATATTGTGTTTTTCCAAATCTTCAACATAATTTCAAAAACTGGCACCCAAAAACATTGACGTTAATTGTATCAATAATATTATTTTGAATAGAATCGATGGTAATTTAAAAACATATAAATCCATCGATACTGTTACAAATAATGATGATGTCGTCAATGTATCCCCACGAATTGAAGTTGAAAATTGGCGTTCCAATTATTTTATTGCGAAATATTGATCCACCACGTCTTTGTAATGGTACTCGATTAACAGTTAAAAAATTAATGAACAACTTAATCGAAGCAACGATTACAACTGGCCAATATAAAGGAACGGATGTCTTACTACCTCGGATCTCAATGACAACATCGGAAATGCCATTCGACTTTACACGTTTGCAATTTCCTACACGTTTGGCATTCGGGATGACAATAAACAAATTTCAGGGTCAATCCCTGCAAGTGTGTGGAATAAATCTCGAAAATCCATGCTTCTCACATGGTCAGCTTTATGTTGCATGCTCGCGAGTTGAGAAACCTTCAGATTTGTATATCTACGCGCCTGAGGGGAAAACGAAAAATATTGTATATCCCAAGGCTTTAGAATAGGAAAATAATTATTAAGAAAAATTTTAATTGTAAATATTAAGTAAATTAAATTTTAGTAATTTTGTAATATTTTGTAAATTTATGCTAATGAATAGGAATAAGAAATAATTATTAAGAAATAATATATGTACATATGTAAATATCATTAATTAATAAACAGTAAGAAATTATAGTCGGGCGAGGCCGACCATATAATACCCTACACCTTTGACAAAAATATAATGTGATTTAGTTGCCATAATAAGGCATTTAAGTTGAATTGTACCTTGCCTTAGATATATGTACATACTTAAGCCGTTTATTGTTGAATAAATTGTGGACATTTAAGTAAAATTTTGATGGGGGCTTTTCATAGGGGCTAGGGTCATATGAGAACCTATTATTATGGAATTCATGGGGGTCATCAAGTCTTGTATACAACTTGGTTATTGCAGCTTCTTGTCGAGATATGAGTATATTAAACATAATTATGAACTTAAAAGCCCAATTCGGCGGGTTCAGTTGTATGGGGGCTAGGTGAAATAATGGACCGATGTAAACCATTTTCAACAGGCTTCATCTACGGTACCATAAAAGATCATGTGCCAAATTTCATTGAATTATCTCCAAAATTGCGACCTGTAGTTTGATTACAAGTTTTAAAAGCCCTATTCGAGGGGTTCAGTTGTATGGGGGCTAGGTGAAATAATGGACCGATAGTAACCATTTTCAATAGGCTTCATCTGCGGTACCATAAAAGATAATGTGCCAAATTTCATTGAATTATCTCTAAAATTGCGACCTGTAGTTTGATTACAAAGTTTTAAAAGTCCTATTCGGGGTTTCAGTTGTATGGGGACTAGGTGAAGTAATGGACCGATGGTAACCATTTTCAACAGGCTTCGTCCCTGGGACAATAGAAGATCATGTACCAAATTTCATTGAATTATCTCCAAAATTGCGACCTGTAGTTTAATTACAAGTTTAAAAGCCCTATTCGAGGGGTTCAGTTGTATGGGGGCTAGGTGAAATAATGGACCGATGTTAACCATTTTTAATAGGCTTCGTCACTGGGATAATAGAAGATCATGTACCAAATTTCATTGAATTATCTCCAAAATTGCGACCTGTAGTTTGATTACAAGGTTTACATGGACGGACGGACAGACGGACGGACAGACGGACGGACAGACGGACGGACATAGCTAAATCGACTCAGAAAATGATTCTGAGCCGATTGGTATACTTTAAGGTGGGTATAGGACCAATATTATTGTGCGTTACAAACATCAGCACAAACCCAATATACCCTCCCCACTAAAGTGGTGTAGGGTATAAATACTTTAAATATCAAACTTTCTTTGTCTTATTATACCCTACACCACTTTAGTGGGGAGGGTATATTGGGTTTGTGCTGATGTTTGTAACGCACAATAATATTGGTCCTATAACCACCTTAAAGTATACCAATCGGCTCAGAATCATTTTCTGAGTCGATTTAGCTATGTCCGTCCGTCTGTCCGTCCGTCTGTCCGTCCGTCCGTCCATGTAAACCTTGTAATCAAACTACAGGTCGCAATTTTGAAGATAATTCAATGAAATTTGGTACATGATCTTCTATTGTCACAGGGACGAAGCCTATTGAAAATGGTTAAGATCGGTCCATTATTTCACCTAGCCCCCATACAACTGAACCCCCAATAGGGCTTGTAATCCTTGTAATCAAACTACAGGTCGCAATTTTGCAGATAATTCAATGAAATTTGGCACATGATCTTTTATGGTATCGTAGACAAAGCCTATTGAAAATGGTTTACATCGGTCCATTATTTCACCTAGCCCCCATACAACTGAACCCCTCGAATAGGGCTTTTAAAACTTTTAATCAAACTACAGGTCGCAATTTTGGAGATAATTCAATGAAATTTGGCACATGATCTTTTATGGTATCGTAAACGAAGTCTATTGAAAATGGTTAACATCGGTCCATTATTTCACCTAGCCCCCATACAACAGAACCCCCGAATAGGGCTTTTAAAACTTGTAATCAAACTACAGGTCGCAATTTTGGAGATAATGCAATGAAATTTGGCACATGATCTTTTATGGTACCGTAGACGAAGCCTATTGAAAATGGTTACCATCGGTCCATTATTTCACCTAGTCCCCCGTACTACTGCACCCCCCGAATAGGGCTTTTAAAAGTTGTAATCAAACTACAGGTCGCAATTTTGGAGATAATTCAATGAAATTTGGCACATTATCTTTTATGGTACCGTAGACGAAGCCTATTGAAAATGGTTACCATCGGTCCATTATTTCACCTAGCCCCCATACAACTGAACCCCCGAATAGGGCTTTTAAAACTTGTAATCAAACTACAGGTCGCAATTTTGGAGATAATTCAATGAAATTTGGCACATGATCTTTTATGGTACCGTAGATGAATCCTGTTGAAAATGGTTTACATCGGTCCATTATTTCACCTAGCCCTTATACAACTGAACCCGCCGAATAGGGCTTTTAAGTTCATAATTAAGTTCATATACTCATATCTCGACAAAAAGCTGCAATAACCAAGTTGTATACAAGACTTGATGACCCCCACGAATTCCATAATAATAGGTTCTCATATGACCCTAGCCGCTATGAAAAGCCCCCATCAAAATTTCACTTAAATGTCCACAATTTTATTCAACAATAAACGGCTTAAGTATGTATATCTAAGGCAAGGTACAATTCAACATAAATGCATTATTATGGCAACTAAATCACATTATATTTTTGTCAAAGGTGTAGGGTATTATATGGTCGGCCTCGCCCGACTATAATTTCTTACTTGTTATACCCTACACCACTTTAGTGGGGAGGGTATATTGGGTTTGTGCTGATGTTTGTAACGCACAATAATATTGGTCCTATACCCACCTTAAAGTATACCAATCGGCTCAGAATCATTTTCTGAGTCGATTTAGCTATGTCCGTCCGTCTGTCCGTCCGTCTGTCCGTCTGTCCGTCCGTCCGTCCATGTAAACCTTGTAATCAAACTACAGGTCGCAATTTTGAAGATAATTCAATGAAATTTGGTACATGATCTTCTATTGT